TGTACATTTGGTTAAACAAAGGTGGCAGAGACCAGCTACACACTAAATCCTTGCTATAAAACTGCCACACCATCTGTACTACTCACCTATCTTGTAGGTGGGAAAGGCCAAAAATTTGATCATTTGATCTTGAATATGGCCCCAGATTGACCCAAATAATGTTGAATTTCACTCTGTGGTGAGCTGATCCAGTTAGAGCCCCTTAGTTTGTGCAGTCCAGAGCCATTGCCAGTGATAGGGCTTAATAGTTGGTTGTGATTCTTAGAAGCCTTTTGAGTTCCCAAGAATAATAAATCTATTAAAAGTGGCAGTGATCTGCAATGTTTTGAATACTATGAGCCAGTAAAATTCCCATAAGTAAAATTTGACGGGATCTAGAACCATTTCAGTTCTTAAGTTTTGTAATGCAAACATTAGAAAATACTGTTATACACAAAATTTTATTTAAAAATTCTTTCACCCACTAAAAGCATAAGAACTTAATCCAATCAAGAAAGTAGTAAGACTAAGACCTCGAACTAAGCATTCCTTTAAATTTAATAAATTTTCTTTAATGAGAGAAAGACCTACTGTATTATTGGTATTTTTCTTATTTTAACATAGAACTGTGGAAATTATACCATGAGCCAGACAGGTTTGTAAGAGGCTCTTGGGCTGGGTGTGGTGGTGCACGCCTTTAGTCCCAGCACTTAGTAGGCAAGAGGCAGGTGGATCTCTGTGAGATCGAGGCCAGCCTGGTCTACATAGTGAGAGCCAGGCCAGCTGGGGCTACAGGGAGACCCTGTGAGAGAGAGAGAGAGAGAGAGAGAGAGAGAGAGAGAGAGAGAAACTGACTCTTGGAAACTGTGATTGGTTAACTGTACTGCACACATACAGTATAAAGTTATTCCCAGTATTTGCCAAAGCAGCAATTGTATGCGAAGCACTTCTTGAAAATAAGTTACTGTGCTAATCTATGTGAGGGTATTTTCTTATAACTTTATATAGCCCCAGGAATGTTGCATATTTACCAAATTGAAAACAAAAATGAATAAATAAAATTGCCACTAAAAATAGAATAAATGTCAAAGGATAGTATCTTGCTCATTAAATATTTGTAATCACTGTATTAGGACTAGTGTTTGGTTCAGTTGTAGGACATGTGTTTAGCCTGTGTGAAGCCCCTAGGTTCAACACCGCCCCCCATACCTTAAAGTAGGTAGGGGGAGAGGAGGAAGAGGGGGAGGGGGAAGAGGAGAGACAAATGGAGAAGGGAAGGTAAAGAAGAGAAAGGAATTTCATTCCACCATAATCAGGGAAGAGTGACAGAAATTGCTCCCTGTGTACCCCATACCACTACATACTTCTGTGCAAACAAAGCCATGCAGAGCTCTGTGTAAGCACTGGATCTTGTTTCATATACTATTTTCTCTGCTTGGAATATTTTCTTTCCACTTTCCTCTCCCTTTGTTTGACTAATTGTTGCTTATAATTTCTTTAAGATGTTAGTATCACTAACACTGGTAGCAGTAGATTCCTAAGCATTGTGCTAACCAACATGTCTGGAAACCAAAAAGTTTAACTCAATAAACCTTTGTAACATTCATTATTTACATATGTTATTTTGAATAAGTTGTCTGAGACAGATGTGGAATTTTAACATTTGTATGTCTTTATAATTCCAAAACAGCTCATCAGAAAGAAAGCAAATATAGTCTGACTCCTAGACTTAAAAGCCATGTGTGAAAATGGCCATGTTTCTCTCCCTTCTTTGATGCCCTCCACATGGTCTCCCAGAGCTATAAAAACTGCCCTGGCAGAATGATTGGATGTTTGTTTTATTTTATATGGAGACTATAATTTAAACTACTGAAGGAGGATTTTCCTTAAGATGACAGTGAGTAAAATAATGCACAGGCAACACAGCTCCAGAGACTCTGTGTTTCCTGCCAGGCATCATCTTTACCATCAGTAGCTAGTCACACCACACACTCTGGTGGTCCATTTGTAGGGACTAGATTCTTCTGAGGAACTTGCTTGGTTTCCCCTTCCAGCCATTTCATCTGAGGGCAAGTAATCACATGCTCCAGATTGCCATTCTCACCGCACCCAGAGCAGTGAGGGAAAGTACCAAGAAGTCAGTCACTTACTTTTGATCTTGTTCTCAGGTTAAAAAAAAAAAAAATCAAGGTAGTGAGGAAGCTGCCTGTAGAGCTCCTGCACAGAGGCCCCTAGAAAGCAGCCAGGTCCCCAGCATCACCAAACACACCTGTCTGTCATCAATACTGAATTGGTAGAGTACAGTGAGGGGAAATGACCACTGAAATGCTATAAAAATTGTATTTAGGAAACTTGACTTCCCCTTTGCCATATTACTTACTCAGAATCCACCTCCCGGGAATCCTAGTGCTCAGATTGGAAGCCATTCCTACTGGGCTTCAGGAGGGCTGCAGAGAACAGCAGGTGGGGTTTCTCTGCAGATCTTACAACTTCCTAGAAAACAAAGAGGAAAGTGACAGGTTTCTTGACATCTTGTAATAGAATTCTGACATCCTGGGTCAGGGTGCTGCACTAGAAATGTCTGTGCTGTAAAGGTGGGTCTGAATTCTGTGCTAGGTCCATAGCTTGTGGAGAGCACTGTGCTGTGGGGGTTGGTAGAAGATGCAATGTCACAAGGACCTGACACACATACCGAGGAAAAGGGATGTGTACAGAAATGCTCATATGTACTGTGTCCAATGATAAGGAACACACAAAAGTGGCCAGACTGTCAAAATTAGTGGGTCTGTTTTTAAAAGAAGTTATTATTTTTTTTCCAAAATAAAAATTAAAGCTTTATTAGTACATCGACCTAGTTAAATATGGAGGTAACATTTGTAAATACACATGCAAAGTATGAATTTTGGGTTTTTATCCATATATGAGCGAAAACATGGTATTTATTTTTCTGAATTTGAGTAACTTTGCTTAACATGTTTCCAGTTCCATCCATTTTCCTGAAAATGTCATGATTTCATTTTTTTCTGTACAACTGAATAAAATTCCATTGAATATATGTTATCGTGTTCTTTTTAATCCATTCATTTGTTCCAATAGATTCTTAAAGGGGTTTGTAACTAAGAAATTCAGAACCACCACACACAGAACTTAGACTCTCGGATTTATAGTGCCCTTCACCTCCATTTCAATCCATTTACTTAATGGTTTAATATAAAAATGAATTAATGATTTTATTTGTCAGATATTATTAATGTTTATACACCATGCTTTTAATTTAGAAAACAGATGGATTGGGCTGCTGAGATGGCTCTGTAGGTAAAGGTGCTTGCTACCAAGACTGAAGACCTGAGTTCCATCCCTAGTAGCCAGCCACATAGCAGAAAGGGAAAGCCACCTCCTGAAAGGTGTCCTCTGACTTCCACATATTTTGTGGCACATGTACACGTATATAATACACACACACACACATACACATACACACTCATGCACAAACACACACTCGTGCACATGCAAACATAAGCACACATGGACACAATAAATAAATAAATAAATAAATAATAAATAATGTCATTTTAAAGAAAGCAGGCTAATTCAGCACATTGTTCAAAATGAGCTCTGCCTGCTGTTTTTTGAGTGCTCACTAGGCCTGTGGCCTCAGCAGTACCCTCTGTGCATTTTACACTCGGACTCTTCAAGAAAAAGCTATCATCACCGTTTCATGGACAAGGAAGCTGAGGTTCAAAAAGTAACTTGTTAGGAAGCAAGGCTCGCTCTCTGTGTGCAGTCTGAAGCTGGAGCTCCTTTTTCTTGGCATGTTGTACTGGTCTGTGATTTAAGAATGGCTCCCTCCCTCCCTCCTCCTTTCCTTCCTTTCTCTCTCTCTCAAAAAAAAAAAAAAAAAAAAAAACACTTTTTTAAAATAAAATTTTGTTTTTTTTATCCTCCGCTTTTCTTTTTTTTTTTTA